TTAGCGGAGTTTATGTTACGAGCGTTTATATACAAGTCAAACGCTGCATTACATTCTTATCGTATATGAGGACGGAAATGCTTTATGAATATTTTCTTTTGAGAACTAAGAATGTCTTTGTTTATTCCCATTCTCTCTCACTCCTGTCTTTCATTTCTGCTATGTATAAAACATTCCCTCATTCTTTTATCCGCATTGCCCCTGCTCCCAATAAAGATGTTAAAATAAGAATAAAAAAAAAAAAAAAAATAATTAATAAATATATATATATATATATATATATATATATATATATATATATATATATATATATATATCCAGCCTTCTCATCTCTCTCTCTCTCTCTCTCTCTCTCTCTCTCTCTCTCGCTCTGCTCTCTCTCTCTCTCTCTATCTCTCTCTCTCTCTCTCTCTCTCTCTCTCTCTCCTCTCTCTCTCTCCTCTCTCTCTCTCTCTCTCTCTCTCTCTCTCTCTCTCTCTCTCTCTCTCTCTCTCTCTCTCTCTCTCTCCTCTCTCTCTCTCTCCTTCTCTCTCCCTCTCTCTCCTCTCCCTCCTCTCCCTCTCCTCTCCCCCTCCCTCCCTCTCTCCTCTCTCTCTCCCCCTTTTCTGCTTATATTTCTCATCCTACCTCGTCATCATCCTTTCTCTACTCTTCACTTCTTGACCTCCCCCCTCCCCCCCTTCCTCTACCCCTCCCCCACCCATACCCCTCGTTGTAAGTGGTCAAGGACAACATAAGTATTGTATCCAGTGTAAAGTCCCGCTTGATGGAAGTTCTCTCTGTAGCAACTTCCTGTGTCGTCGTCATAAAAAAAAAAAAAAAAAAAAAAAACTTCAGCTCCCGTTTTCCCATCTACCTTTCCCCGCTTCTCTTCTTCCCGTGTCTTATATTTCTTCATTTTCCCCTTTCTCTCCGTCTTCCGTTTCGCTTTCTCTCTTTTCTCTCCACCTTTCTAACCTTTGTCACTTTCTTTCATTCTTCTTGCATATCGTTCTATCTCCTTTTTATTCATGTTTCTGTCTTCCTTCCCTCCTCCATCATTCTCTTCTCCTTCCTAATTACTTGTCTTCCCTTCCTCTTCTTTTCTTCTTTCTTCTCTACGCTACTTTCTCCTTACTCATTTTTCTCCTTCCCTTCTCCATTCCCATCTCCCTTCCCCTTCCTCCCTTCCTTTCTTCCCCTCTTTCTTCATCCCTTCTCCCCTTCCCTTCCTTCTCCCTTTCCCTCCCTTCCTCCCTTTCCCCCCTTCTTCCTCCCTCCTTCCCACCCTTCCCTTACCTCCTTCCTCCCTTCGCACTTACTCCTTTCCCCGACTCCCCCTACCCCCCCCCCCTCCAACTTCCCTCTCTTCAATGGAATGGCAGTACAATACGAATAAAATCTTTTTTTCTTTCTTTTTTTATACAATTCGCGGTCGACTTTGATAATGTGACAATGTGACGTTTTTCTTGGTCGCCATTTTTTTTTTTTGGGGGGGGGAGGGAAAGAGGTTATAGTTGTAAATAATAATGAAGTAAATTACGAAACAAAAAAAAATGGCTGAATTAAAACAAGGACAATGATTATCATATCCATCTATAGAGTAACCCAAATTTGCATATTTGTTTTTCATCATGGCATAATGATTTAAGACTAGAAAAAATAACTGATTTTCATAAACTTAAAGGTACATATGAATAGAAAGGACGGATTTTTACGTACTAGGTTTCCCTTTTTTTTTTTTATCTTTCCCTCCACAAATAGTATTGTTCTGTTAATGTTATGTTTATCAGTATTATTATTATTATAATTATTATTGTTATTATGTTTAGTACTACTACTACTAATACTATTACTATTATCATCATTATTATCATTATTGCTGTGGCTGTTTTTGCATTAATCTCATTATCATTTGTTACTATAATTATAACCATCATTACCACTGAAATGTTTTCCTATATGCCGTCGGCTAGTAATAATCCCGAAGAAATTCATAATTCCTAATTGTGATGAAAATAATAGTGATAAGAATTCCGATTCCTTATCTTTACAAAAAAAAAAAAAAAAAAAAAAAAAAAAAAAAAACTGCAAAACAAAAATTACATGAACTGCAGATTTTTAAATAGAGATAAAGAGTTCTTATTCAACATGTAAACTAGGTTTTATTTGATACATAATTATTGTATGCTTTAGTTTTATTTCAAATTACAAATCGGCAAATGTATACAAAATTTGCGCAATAGCAGTAGTAATAAAGATGATAAAGCAGTTGTGAGATAATGATAGCGATAATGATTAGCATAATTGAAGTGATAATGTTGCCACTAATAGTAATCTTTCGATAGCAGTCCCAATGATAAAATTCATTAGCAGCGAAAGAAGTGATAATGAAAACATAATTATGATAGGGATAATATTTCTTTCCCTCCCACTCCCTCCCTCTCTCTCTGACGAATATAGGTTAACCAGTATATTTTAATTACCTCGTACAAAGTAATGGTAATCATTAGAACCCGGTTTTTTAGACACTTAAAAACTCAAAAAAGTGATAAATAAAAATGACAATATAGTGCAATTTGAAAGGCTTCTGAGATATTGTGAAATTAAGAATAGAATTTAACAGTTTACAGTTTGAATTACAAAGTAAAGAAACTGAAAAACTATGATCACAAGAAACAATATATAAAAGCGTGTATGGGCACTATAACTACAAATACTTTCAAAACACGTATTAAAAACAGTTAATTGAAAATAAGTCATAATTTATCCGAAAAAAAATACATTATTGTATTACACTGACATTGGCCATTATTTGAAATGAGGTGAATGGAAATCAAACACGGAATTACTATGAAATTTATCAATAATATCATTAAAACTGCTTTAACGATTATATTTTCCGCGTAGATGGAAACGAAACTGTATAAAATATCATCTTACCAATGTTTTTACTTATCCAGGTGGAAAACGTTAATATTCACCAAAAAGGAGAAAAAATAATCGCAGCTTCACAATGCTGACCTTGGGGTGCACGACCATGTAAAAAATACCTTGGGATACACTCCATTGTTGTTCATGGAGAGATTAATTCGTCTACTCCACCCGAAGCCGCTATGAGAGCTTTCGCACAAGTCCCCGTGTTGTCCTATGCGGCCGACGCCCAAAATGCCGCGTCCGTTTCCTTTTCTCGTGACCCTCGTTCAGCGATTACGCGCGACTAATGGCGGCGTTTGCAGTGAAAAAAAAAACTAGCGGATTTCGACAATCATCTTAAAGAGCTCGTGTTACGGGGGCGGCGAGTCGATGCGGTGCGAAGCGGGCGTGACCAAGACCGTATCCTTTTTGGCGTGTATCCTTTTGTACTTTTGTACGAGGTTATTCGGCATGAAACGGGAAGCGTGTCGTGTGCATGTCATGTATGTCAGTGTGTGTGTGTGTGTGCGTGTATGTATGTGCGTGTGCGTGTGTGCGTGTGTGTGTGTGTGTGTGTGTGTGTGTGTGTGTGTGTGTGTGTGTGTGTGGTGTGTCGTAAATGTACATATTATGTAGCTGAAGATATGTTTTCTGTTTTGTTTACGTGCGTTTTCGTTAGAGTTTGAATTTTGTCCCCCTACATTTATCCGTATGCGTGCGTGCAGTATTATCGAATTAACGTCACACCCTTGTTGAACTAAACACCAGACGGTCTACTAGTTTTAAACGTCGCCATAACAGTGCAACGACATCTTCCCAAGGTGACACTTGCTGGATCCTTGAAAGTTTTGAATCGTATTGTTTCTTTCCTTCGCCTAAGTTGCCGCCATTGTGACGTCACGGAGGGAGGGGCGAGATAATTTTAGTGGAATTCGTTAATGACTAAAATATAATTATAATCTCACAGCTTTTCAATAACGGGACAAACGACTAGTTTAGGCTTATGCAATTAGCATACACAATACATTTTGGATTATAGATCATCAAAAAGGAAATGAGAATAAAAAAAAATAACTGACGATTTACTGGGATTAATCTCACTGTTTATGTTTATAACACCACTTATAGTCATTATAAAAGAAAGGAAATTATTTTTTTTCTTGTTTTTACACTATGTCATGCAAGCTGTTCCTGACAGACTATCACATCCTCAGATTTATACGCTATCTTCTTTTCACAAAACATCACACTTTTTTTTTTTTTTTTTTTTTTTTTTCACTAATTCATTTTCTCGCCTTATATTTATACCCTTGCAAGTTATTTTCCCTTGAGGACTTGTACAGCTCTTTTCCTTTACCAAAATTTCAAACCATTTTAATTAGTTTTCCTATATATCATCTTTTTTCTTGTGTAGGTCTTTCAGGTCAATACAGCTCTCGTTTTCCTTTGCCAGAGCCTTAAACACTCATTTAGCTTGTTTGTCCTTGTCGTTGATTCAGGGCCTTCGTTTTTCACCATTATCCTATATCTAAACTCTCGGTAGTCAGTTTTCTTCATTAGAGCTTCGAGTTCATTCGCTTCATTTTCTTCTTTTCGGAGCTCGTTTTCCTCAAGCCTCAGAGCCCGTTTTCCCTTGGCTCCAAACTCTCGACATCGCATCTTTCCTTCTGGAAGACTCCTACGATCACAATTAACTTTCCCTTGACAGAACCTGATATCCCAATAGCTCTTTCTTTTTTACCCCCACTCAACCAAAACCATTTCTCCATTATTTTTTCAGAGCCTCACGACCCTCATAACTCGCTTTCCCTTGCCAAAGCCTCTTGCAGCTCGTTTTCCTTTGTCAAAGCCTCCCGCTCTCGTAGCCCGCTTTCCCTTACCTCCGAAAGCCTTGAAAGAACCTGATGATACCCTCGCAGCTCGTTCTCCCTTACCCTTACCTAACCTAAACCTTATCACAGCACCCAAACCAAACACGGAAAACATTAAAAAATAATAACAACAATGATAAAGATAAAAATAGACAAAATAAACACCGCAATATTCCTGCAGCAAACTCCTCTTAAATAATCTCTCTCTCTCTCTTCTCTTCCTTTTTTCTCCAGTTATCGCGGCAGATGGAGTGGTCGCGGTTCCATCGTCACAAGTGGGACCAGGCGACGACCTTCGCGTGGAAGAACTTCTCGTCGGCGCCTGTGCGGAGGATGTTCTCCTTCGTCACGGTGCTGGGGAGAGCCGCCCTACCTGAGGACAAGCTGAAGGAGGTAAAGGCGTGGGCGTTGGAATGACTTTGCTGTTGTTGTTATAAGGAGTCGAGAGATGACGTGTTTATCTTTGTAAGTTACTTTGTTAGTGTGTGTGTGTGTGTGTGTGTGTGTGTGTGTGTGTGTGTGTGTGTGGTGTGTGTGTGTTGTGTGTGTGTATGATAGATAGAGAGAGTACGTGCTTGTTCTTAGGTATATGTTGTCTGTTAGATCCCTATATCGTTTTCCCTTGTTACAAAATGACACAGGAGGGGATGCAAGGAGAGAGAGAGAGAGAGAGAGAGAGAGAGAGAGAGAGAGAGAGAGAGAGAGAGAGAAAGAGAGAGCGAGTGAGAGAAAGAGAGAGTGAGAAAGAAAAAGAGACAAGTGAGAGAGAAGAGAAAAAAAAAAAAAAGAAAGAGAAAGAATTAGTGAGATAACAGAACGACCCTTCCAGTTGACAGAGCTGACCCAGGAAATGAAGTCGTCGTACTCCGCTGCCAAAATCTGCAGGTACGACCCCACGCGCCGCCGCCTGGACAACGGAGACTACGACTACAACGCAGACAACGACCTGGATAACGACATCGGTTGTATTCCGACACTCAGTCTCGAACCGCGTGAGTTTATATTATTTTTGTTTATATTATTCCTATGGTTGAGCTATTAATCCTATGGTTGAGCTTTAAGATATAAAATTTCGGTTAATTCCTGATTACTATTGATAGGGAGAGATTTTATTATTCATTATTATTTATTATTATTATTATTAGAGGCTTTATATAGATTTTTATTTTATAAAGTAGAACAATAAAATTTTTGTCATATAACTATTGCGATTGTACCATGTTGCATCAGGAGAGGATGAAGAAATATGCCAAGAAAAGAAGTGTTTTGTTTTTGTTTTTGTTTTATTCATCCTTAGCTAATCTTGGTGTTCATCTGTAAGAGGAGAAAGAGAAAGAGAAAAAAAAAACATCTATTGTGAAGACTTGTCCTCCCTCCTAACCCCCCCCCCCCCCCGTAAGATAGAATCAGTTTTTGCTTTAGATTTTTTTTATGGAAACGGAAACGGATGAAGTTATCTCTGTTTTTTTTTTCTCTCTCTCTCATTTTTGTTCTTGTGTCACTTTGTTCGGGATAACATCTGATATGTTTAAGCTTGAGCGCGGCTGTGTGTGCATGTACAGTACATATGCGGATTCTTGCACTTATTTCCATAATTTCCATCTATCTATATTTACCTATTCTATATATGTTTTTGTGTGTGAGTGTGTGTGTATATATGTATGTACCTACCTATCTCCCCCCCTCTCTCTCTCTCTCTCTCTCTCTATCTATCTCTATCTATCTATACTCTATCTATCTATCTATCTATCTATCTATCTATCTATATATCTATCTATATATATATATATATATATATATATATATATTGCGTGTATGTATGTATGTGTGTATATATGTGTGTGTGTGTGTTTATAAGGAGATAAAGACAGACAGCCATACCCCTACACCCAAGCACTAACCCCACCAAAAGCCTCCTCCTTCACCCCCTCCTCCTCCTCCTCCTCCCGCAGACCTCGTCCAGCTGATGGCGACCTCCCGCGACCCGGAGGAGCTGCGCTACGTGTGGCGGGCGTGGCGGGACGCGGCGGGGCGGCCTCTGCGCGGGAAATACACGCGCTTCGTCGAGCTGTCCAACGAGGCTGCGAGACTCAACGGTGGGTGGGTTTGGGGTCCTCAGTTTTGTTTGTTTTGAGGTTTGAATGGTGGGTTTGGGGTCCTCAATTTTGTTTTTTTGAGGTTTGAATGGTGGTTTGGAGGGGTCTTCTTTAGTTTGTTAGTTTGTTGTTTTGAGGTTTAAAAGATGGGTTTGGGGGTCCTATTTTTGTTTGGTTTAAATGGTGGGTTTGTGTGCTTCGTCGAGCTCTCCAACGAGGCTGCGAGACTGAACGGTGGGTTTGGGGTCCTCAATTTTGTTTGTTTGTTTGTTTGTTTTGAGGTTTGAATGGTGGGTTTGGGGGTTTGTTTGTTTGTTGTTTTTGTTTTGAGGTTTAAATGGTGGGTTTGGGGGGTCCTCTTTTTGTTTGTTTGTTTGTTTTGGTTTATTTGGGGTTCTCCTTTGTTTGTTTGGTTTAAATTTGAGGTTTAAAGGGTGGGTTAGGGGGTCCTCTATTAGTTTGTTTGCTGTTTTGAAGTTCAAATGGTGGGTTTGGGTGATTTTCATCTAGTTTGTTTGTTTCGAAGTTTGTGAAATGCCAGGCGTTTTGATTTATTTGTTTGTTTGTTATTTTGAAGTGCAAAATTATTTATTTTTTGTTGTAAGAATTTCTATATTTTTTTTTTTTTCTTTCTAAACTCTCTTTTTCAGTATCGTATATTCTTTTTCTTCTTCATGTCAATATTTTATAAAGTATAATAATGTTTCTTTTTCTTAGTCATGCCAATGTTTTATGAAGTATAATAAGATTTATTCGTTCATTACGACCTTTGATGTCGTTTTCACAATCTACCCCTCCCTATCAATATATCTCTCCCTCTCTCCTTCTTCCTTCTTTCTCTCTCCGTTTATCACCCGCCCCTTCCCTCAGGCTTCGAAGACGCCGGCGACTTCTGGCGGAGCGACTACGAGACGGATGACTTCGAGGACATCATCGACGGGCTGTGGGCGGAGCTGAGGCCGCTGTACGAGCAGCTGCACGCGTATGTGCGCAGGAAGCTCATCGAGAAGTACGGCGATACCATCGTGCCGCCCAGGGGCCCCATCCCCGCCCATCTCTTGGGTATGTCGGCACCCACGCCCTCGCACGTGCAGGGGAAGTGGGGGTCTTGCATGAGTGTGAGGCGTACATGTCCATATATGCACATAGACGGATGTACAAACACACAGATGGATATATGCCCACTTATATGTATATCGTACATGCACACATACACGCACGCGTACACGAACACGCACACGCACACGCACACACACACACACACACACACACACACACACACACACACACACACACACACACACACACACACACACACACACACACACACACACACACACACACGTGCACATAGGAGTTTAACTATATAGACAAGACCACCATAAAATTCATTGACAGGGGAGGGAGGGGGCGGCACTTTCACCATCCACACCCTGTACGTGTTTCTGTGTAGTTATACCCACGTGTACACATTTCTTAAATTCATAACTGGCTTTATGACTGGTGAGGAACCGATTACTCTATTAACGACGTGATTAGGGCGCTTATTACAGGATTAACGACTGCTGGATGGCTCTAATGAATGAGTAAACACTAGTTCAGGGAAAGTTGGTTTTATTTTAAGGGTAACGGTAGTTTTTTTCCCGGAGTGAATAGCTTGTTGGCGATCGTTCAGTGTTCAGAAATGCCAATGGGAACAATCTGTAATCTCTTTTGGCCTTTGCCAAATATTTTTATAATATAATATGAATGCTCTTTAAATATGCTCTTGTTTTTTGTACTAAATGTTTTCAAAAGTCAAGACGAATCTGGGAATGCTATCCAGTTATTGCTTTCTGTTTGTTTGTTTATGTGAAAGACTTAAATACAGACTTAGACTATTTACTATCCTCTAGGTTTTGGGTTTCAAAAACTTTACAGGCTAATATTTGCAACACATATTCATCTCTAGACTATTTCTATTGAGGATGTGATGTGACATACTGAGTCGAGAATATAATGACCTCGAATTTCTAGTTTTAATCCTTAATCCATAATCTTTAGTTTCTTAAAACTAAACAGCCATAATTGTTATTACAAAAGCCAATAATATCTCTAGTGAATTTCCTTATTCATCAGTTATTTATAAGAATTCTTAAAAGTCTCGACGAAAATGTAAGATTTCCTTTCTTTGTTAACAAGACCAATCAAGTTATGTTGAAGCCTGAATTACTTAAAGACTGTCCCAATTAGATATCAGAGGGTTTCGTCACCAAGGATAATGCGACTTACACCCTAATTTTATCATCAATTTCGTGTCTGAATGTGCTGAACATTACAAGGAAGAAACATGCCATGAGGAAGGCTAGGGAGGTACCGAGTAGAAGTCATCTTGAACAAGAGCCTTAAAGAGGAATCTGATACGTTATATGGTTAAGACGTAGTTTGTCGCGGATTTTTAGGTTCCCCAAAATTAATCGAGCTGTCCGGTGACTATGTTTTAGTTTTAAAAGATTAATTTATACAAGCTTCTTTTTGCGAAATGATTCTAGCAATGACAATACACGAATGGTAATTATTCTAATAAATACTAATAGACTAAATGAATAAATGAATCGATAAGATAAACGGACAACACATCGACACCATGACGGCATAGAAACTGACGATTGTTATGATTTTGACGAAAATAATTACGATAATGATACTAAACAACAAAGACCGAAACAGAAGCACCTTGAACCATGCTTCACACTTACCAAACCATCCCTTCGACACCTCCAGGCAACATGTGGGCACAGACGTGGACCCACATCTTGGACCTCACAGTACCCTACCCCGGCCGGCCCAGCGTCGACGTGACCAACACCCTCCGCCGTCAGGGATACTCGCCCTTCGACATGTTCCGGCTGTCGGAGTCCTTCTTCATTTCGCTCGGTCTTGAGCCGATGCCCTCGACCTTCTGGCAGAAGTCACTCCTCATTAAGCCCACCGATAGAGATGTTATCTGTCACGCCTCTGCCTGGGATTTCTGCAATGGTATAGACTACAGGTTGGTGACTTGCGTTGTGGTATTTTCTTTCTTGTTTTCTTTATTCTTATTGTTATTTATTCCTTTGTATTCGTTTTTATTCTTATGTTTATTTATTTCATCTATGTGTTTTTGGTGGAGGTGGAGGAGAGGTGACTTGTTTCGGATTTGTTCTTCATAAACTAATAAAGCAAAGAATTACCCTCATGAATGTTGAGGTTCCTCCTGTATAATTACCTCCCTCTCTGCCAAACGTCCCCTCCGTTGCACCGAAACTGAACGCTTATCTGTTGACGTTGCAGAATCAAGCAGTGCACCCAGATTACGATGGAAGACATGATAACAGCGCATCACGAAATGGGCCACATCCAGTACGATCTCCAGTACCGCAACCAGCCTTTCATCTTCAGGTAAAGAAAATCAGATAAACAGTCGATTGAGTCCACAGATATCTTCGCATTAAATAATTCATTCATGGATATTGGCGTTTTCTTGAAGGGATCAGATAGAATCGGATAGGAATAGATATTAATCTGATATTTCGAATCGCGAGACGATATGAGCGAAATGGCTCTGGGTCTATCGTCCGACTCGAAACGTTATGACGTATCATTCTGTTCTTTGTCCTCTTGTTCCATTTCACGTCCTGGTGTTTGTGTTTTTTCACGATTTCGGGTTTTTGTTTTAGCTCACTATTTCACTTTTTTTTCAAAAATGTCATCAGAGACGCAAATATTAACGAGTTCATGCTTCCTCTTATCTTTACAACACTTTAGTTTACTTCATGCTGTTTATTGTAAGATTCCCACAGTCCCTTCCGCATAGAGTAATCACCCAATGCTTCTTTGCATAAGAAAGTGTTCTTCCAAAGACCATCGTCACCTCTCGCAACCTCTGCCAACAGGGACGGTGCCAACCCCGCCTTCCACGAAGCAGTGGGGGACGTCCTCGCCCTCTCGGCCGCCACGCCCTCGCACCTCCAGGAGATCAACCTCCTCGCCAACGTCGACGAATCTTTCGAGAATGACATCAACTTCCTCTTCTCGATGGCGCTGGACAAGATCGCTTTCCTGCCGTTCGGGTATCTCGTCGACAAGGTGCGTTGGGGGTGAGGAACGGACGAACGGATGAAGCACTGGGGACTTTTGGCTGAACGGATGAAGCACGGGGGACTTTTGGCTTGTTAATTTACAGAGAGCCTAAATCAGTTACTCACTATTCTTAAAATTATAATTAGTCCATACACTATTTCTTGTATACCAACAAAGCTAATCTTTTACATTGCTTTTTTTTCATTAAACGATCGTATATTCAAAACGTGATAATAGAGATCTAGTGCAGTCTTCAACGCTAATCTTTTACATTGTTTTTTTTTTTTCATTGCACAATGCTTTATAATACAAACTGAAAACAATCTTCCCACAACTCACCCTCCTTAGTGGCGTTGGGAAGTGTTCAGCGGAGAAATTAGTGAGTCGCAGTACAACAGCCGCTGGTGGGATCTCAGGGTGAACTACCAGGGTGTATCTGCGCCCTTACTGAGGGACGAGGACGACTTCGATCCCGGCGCCAAGTTCCACATCCCGGCCAACGTTCCTTATGTGAGGTAGGATGTCGTTGGAGGGACTGTTTTCAGGGTCGGGTGCCTGGGTGGCTTCTCCTTGGTTCTTTGTGGTGTCAGCTTGGTTCTGCGTGGCGTGTTCTTAGTTGTGTGTAGTATGTGCTTGATTCTGTGTTTTGTGTGGTGAATGTTTGGTTCTGTGTGGCGTGTTCGCAATTCTGGTTGTGTCTGTTTGGTTCTATGTGGTTTCTGTTTCTGTGTAGTGCCTTCTTAGTGTTAATTTGGTTCTGTGTGGTGTCTGTTTGGTTCTGTATGTTTGGTTCTGTATGGTCTGTTGTGTCTGATTCTGTGTGGTGCGTTCGTAGCTATGGATGGTGTCGTCTTTCCTTTGTTTTGTTTCCGTGATTTTCCTTGGTTATCTGTGGCAACTTCTTGGCCTCTTGTGCCTTTCATTCGGTCCATTCTTTTCTCTGCCTTGTCTTCGCGTGTGTCTAATGGCGCAATGACCTTTGTATGTCATTTAAAGATTAATATTTTTTTCACACGAGAGACTGCAGAGTATACCTTCGCAACTCCATGATATCTTAACTGTCATTGATAATAGCGTTTCCTCCCTTATCATATAACCACTGATTAACGAATTAAACCTGCAGATACTAAAATGCACGATCTTGTATTAATCTTTTAGATAATTTATTGAAAAAAAAACATTATATTCTCATAACACGTTTCTTTCTTGATTTCAGGTACTTTGTGAGCTTTATCGTGCAGTTCCAGTTCCACGCTGAGCTCTGCAAGGCGGCGGGACACTCGGGCCCTCTCCATCGCTGCAACATCTACCGTTCTGCCGAAGCTGGGAGGCTCTTGAGGTCAGTTTTGTGCGGGTTGGGTTTGATTTTTTAATATACTTATTCAAAAGGAGAAAAAAAAGAAAAAAAAAACGAAAAAGAGAGAAAAAACAGAAAGAGAGCAAAAGCACGTAGCAAAATTAGCACATTTCCCGAATGGATTATAAGAGCGACACTGGAAGTCCCAATTACAGGTAGACAAGAAGAGTATTTTCCTGAACTGTTCATATACTTCGCAGCTCCTCAAGCCCAGAACTTTATTACTCGCATCACATTTACCGGAACAATAGAATTCTCTTTCCAATAATATATTATCCTATACACTGACTTCTAACCCCCCACCCTCCGCCTTCACCCCCTTCTACAGGAACGTCCTCTCCCTCGGCAAGTCCCGCCCTTGGCCCGAGGCGCTCTCCGTCCTCACCAGCGGCCGCACCAACCAGCTTGAAGCAGGACCTATTCTCGAGTACTTCGAGCCTCTCATGTCCTGGCTCGAGTCTCAGAACAAGGACGAGTTTATCGGCTGGCGTAGGTGTCCTCTGGGTGTCTTTGTTTTTTTTTTGTTACTTGAGGTGTTTTTGTTATTAATTTTAGATTACTGTTAGGTGTTATTAGGTGTCTTTTTTTTAGGTGTTTTTGTTATTAATTTTTAGATTAGATTGCTGTTAGGTGTCTTTTTTTTAGGTGTTTTTGTTATTAATTTAGATTAGATTGCTGTTAGGTGTTATTAGGTGTCTTTTTTTTAGGTGTTTTTGTTATTAATTTTTAGATTAGATTGCTGTTAGGTGTTATTAGGTGAGTGTTTTTATTGTTTTTTTGTTATTAGAGGTGTTTTTGTTATATATTTTTAGATTAGACTGCTATTAGGTGTTATTAGGTGAGTGTCTTTGTTGTTTTTTGCTACTAGAGGTGCTATTGTTGTTAGATTTTATTTAGATTAGATTGCTACTAAGTACTATTAGGTTAGGGTATTAGGTAGTCCTTGATATAAGATTCGGGTTGTCATTTGGGTGTTGTTAGATAATAGAGGAGATTGTAAATTAATATTTGATAAGGTTGTTATGAGATGCTATTAGATATTATTTTAGATTGATATGTTTTATTAGTTGCTACATATTAATAGAGATCATTTCCAGAAAAAAAAAACGCACCAACGTAACTAACCTTTTCCCTTTCTCTCCCCCTCCCCCCCGCCCCCCGCCCCGCCCCCTCAGAGGAAAACGAAGCCATCGTCCTGGGCGTGGTGAGCTCCAACGCCTCCGTGGTGACGGGCGTGATCCTCGCCTTCATCGCCATCGTCCTCCTCGTGGCCCTCGTCATCATCGCCGTCAGGAAGCTGCGGTCGTCGGGCGGGTCCTTCACCGCTCCTGCGCCGGGGACCTGAGATGAGGCGGACCCGAAGCCTGAGGTTGAAATCATCGAGGAGGACTTAGGGACGATTTAGCAGAGAGCGATTCCTTGTTTTTCTCTCTTTTTTTGCGGTATATTTATGATAAGATTCTTATTTATGTAGTTTTTTGTGTTGCCAGTTCATGTCCCGACTGTCTTTACAAGCTTGTACTTTAGGAAAAGATTCGTTTTGGTTTCTCTAAGGTGCTCCGCGCACTGATCTCTCTTTTTTATTATTTGCCAAGAAAAAAAATGCAAGCTACCTCAAGAAAAATAATAAAGTAACAATAATTAACCAGTATAAGAAGACCAAAGATAAGTGTTTAATCTCTCAGACGCCCTCAAGAGCCGCCCCTTGCTAGACTTGACGACATCCAACAAATAGCGTCCATTCTCTGCTGTAATCGCCGCCCTTAAAAGTCCCTCTCGACGGGCCTCTCTCCTTTCCTCGACCTTCGGACTTCGGGTCACTGACTTTGAAACTAGTCCCGTCCTTTGGCTTCGGTCGGACTCTTCCAAGGCTGTACAGAAGGATGGTATGTGTCTTCGGGAGCCATGGAACGTGCTTCGAAACCCGACCGATTTTCGAGCACAAAAACCACACACGGAGTTTACTTGAAAGTATGATGTACAAAGTCCACACACTATAATGTAATGGTGTTAATGAGGTGGTTATAGTTTTCACGGCGATGTGTCCTTTTCGGTGGTACAGGTTTTGAGTTTTGTACCATATCTTACATGCTGCCAATGTTAGTGGTTCAAATCTTGAGCTTATGAGTTTCTTATGGAGCGTGGGTGCTCAAATATGTTATCAGATAATATACCTTCCCGTCGCTGTATATAGATAATTCACATCATCAGGTCTGGCTGGTATTTTCGGTGTGTTTATGAACATCCAGTGCCAAAAAGACAGCGAACCACTCACACATGGCATGGAGATTCTGAACCAAATCTTAAAAAAAAAAAAATGTACACCACTTGGGGAACACGTAAATGCCCTTTTAATCTGTGTGTAAATCGAAAATATGTATAAAATTTCCCCTTTTTTTATCCCTACACGCTTATTTATTCTTAAAGGAGAAGGAAGCAATATCTGTGACCTTGCTGCACCTCCCACCACCACAGTTGAGTCAACACAAGGGTGGAATTAAGCAAGACTCCAGACCATTGCCATCCAGCCGAGACGTTCTTGGTATTAGTAAGGGAGTCACTCTTGTTGGTGTTGTCTTCTGTTTTTTGTTATTCACGTGGTAGCACCGTTGAAGTCGTAGTGTAAGGTAAAAAACAAAAAAGCAAAACAAAAAGTTTAGCTGTGTAGACGTGTGATATAGATGTTACCTTCTTTTAACTGTTATGACACTGTCTTTAAACACGCATTTGTTGGGCTTTATCGTAAGCCCGATAAACCCATGGCAAATAAAATCATGCATTCATTCACGAATCACGAAAGACATGCCATTATCCTGCACTTTATGTTGATGCTTTAATATGAAATTATTGTATTCACGCACGTTCATGATTTGTATAGCAATGTTTCTATACGTAAATAAAGTGTATTTGTAACTAAATTGTTTTACAACCTGACTAATAAAAGTATTCATGTTGCCAATAAGTAGGAAAGAATATTTCATGATTTACAAAATTCAAATGTAAGGGAAATGTAGGTACTTGTATATCTGAAAGTTACTGCGACGTACAATTTTATAAGTATAAATGTGCATAAGTATCTGGTATATCAAAAAGTTCTTTGGACGTGAAACTCAGACAAGGGATGAATTATGTATAAGTGATTACGTATCCAAATGAATGGGCCCAGTTGATGACCATTCTGACACACATTCAGTATTTGCCAGAATATATGTGGTTTTGCGAAAATGTTCTCGTTCTTTTCCGTGTGAAGGAAGTTGTCGCAAAATTATGCATTTTCAATAGAATGTTTGTAAAGAATTTAAAATCAGACATAAAAACGACAGATATTAGTAAAGGAATCATAACACTATTTCTTTGCAGCACGTATTAGGAACTGAAATCTGGTTAACTCCATCAAGGTATAACTTCAGTGGAACAAATCGTAAGTAAATCGTATTGAACAAGTAATCTTATAGCCTCCTTGGCACTGAAGATTTAGACAAGATTAACGTAAGCCGATTTTGATAAGGAGCTTAAAACTCTCGCACAGACAGATATTTGTGTAGTAATAAATCTCACTATTGGCGAGAGAATATGTCATATTGCTTGCTGACCATGTTTGAAATAAAATTCCAAGATATGAAATATGCTTATTGTGTGTAATGTACATCATGATATAAAAAGAGCAAAGGAAATATTCTGAAGAAAATAAAGCCTACGTGTAGTTGACCATTTCATATTCAATGAAAACATAATACCCAAACAATCTGTCCATTGTATAGTAAGCACGACAAATACATGAAAAGGCCACTGACCGTGAACAACGATAGTTTCCACAAAAATAGGTAGTGTTGACCAAGGTCTGTATGAATAAGGTCTCATCACTTCTGAGTTGGGAGTAGCTTTGGGCTTATGCCGTCACTTGGGGAATTAGAGAATGGGGAAGGTGATAGAAAACGGTAGAAATTTAAGCGAACACTGAAGTAATTTTAGACCTTGGGGTTGACATGTCTATGACTGAGCTGGTGGGCTATGACAGTCGGCTTTTTGAGTGAATTTCAACCCTTAAGAGGCTCCAACTTCGCATGGAAAAGAAAAATATCTGAAGCTTTATTTATTTTCCATTTACCATTTTCAATGGCAAGGTAGGAAAGTAGAAAAAATATAGCAGCAGAGATGAATTCCACTTATTATATTTTTAAAAGATTAGAAAAGAAAAACTATATTTTCGTATGTATTTATATATGTACATATATAGAGAGAGATATAGATAGATGCACATATCTCTCTCACTCTTTACATGTATATATATATATATATATATATATATAATATTTATATTATATCTATCTATCTATCTATCTATCTATTTATCTATATCTATATCTATCTATCTATCTATCTATCTATCTATCTATCTATCTATCTACTATCTATATATATATATATATATATATATATATATATATATATATATATATATATACACGTGCGCGCGTGCATTATATATGTATACATATGTAATATATTATTTACATAATATCAACTATATTCTGAGTCTATGCAGCAGTGACTCGTTTACCTATATAGAGAGACATTCGGTGAGTATCTAGCGAAAAAAAAAATATAAGGATCCATCTCTTATGTCGCCGTCTTAAGCATAGAAAAGGGCGAGCATTAGTCCTCAAGACAACATTTTGCTCGGTAAGACTATCACCCAACGACGATTTTCAAACGATGGTCTATAGTGTTGTGTAAACGGGTCCGCGGTCCTCTTGGGGTATGCAACATAGATCATAGGGGTACGTGAACAAATAAGGAACACACACGCCTCACATCTCATATTAAGTTGTGTAAGTATTTTTAAGCATTTTGTTATTAAATCATCTTTTTTTATTCGTGTATTACATTCGAATTTATTGACCAACACTCCTGCAGTGTAGTCTTTTCATAATTAGTATATTATTTGCTTTATCTTAAATAAAACAGTTTGTTTAGCCATGGTGGACATGTACGTAACAGTACAAGAAGGTGATAAAGGGTACAATAGGCGAAAATGTTTGGACATCGCTGGTCTAAAGCTCTAATTCTGTTTTTGAATTGAGTCATTTTGCCGCTAGATTCGCTAACGGTCATCGTTGGCTCCAAATTGTCGCATGGCTGTTGGGTGGGGGTTAGGTGTATACAATTGCAATCAAAAA